TGGAACTGTTCCGGAACTTATGGATCAGTATGAACCCAGCCTAAGCTACTTTTCGTCATCGATCGATATCGATTTTTGCAAAGTATGAGCTACGGGGCTTGGAGTTGGCACAAGGGGATAAGCGAGCATGCTGATTACGAATATATCATCGACAGGGCCAGACGGAGCCGGGTTTGCCAGCTAGTAAAATCTAAAAAAGGGATGGCGAAATTAGATAGGAATGTTTACTCAAATGTTTTTCTGGGAAGAGTCTATGAGAAAATTAAAGGTAACGCCACGAGTTAATTCACAATGATATTGAATTTCAACTGCACAGTTTTTGCCAATAAATGTGATGAGAAACACGAAAAATGACAAAAAGGGATGGCGAAACTAGATAGGAACGTTTACACAATTGTTTTAGTGGGAAGAGTCTATGAGAAAAATGAAAGGGAGATGAGAGCCTGGAGCCTTCAATTAGTACAGATAAGGTGTTCAATTAGTACATTACATTGTAAAATTAAATCTTTGAGAGTTTTCATAACAGCAGAGGCAAGATCTTAGTTCTATCATAGTGTGGTTGATTTCAACACTTGCTGAAGGTCATGGGTTTGATTATAACCTGAACTTAACTTCTGCGGCAAAAATTTTGCTCGCAGTTCCAGCGTCAGGCTGCCTTGCAAAAAAAGCATGCGACAAGCCTTCTAAGAAACATTCCGTAGCATCAAATTCAGAGTTGCAGAAATCTCCTGTGAAGGCGCGTTTTGGTCGGGTCTCGATGACCACAGCAGTTTGATTCTATTGGGAGACACTCCTCCTAGAAGCGGAACCAAATGGACATATGAGAGAAAGGCGAGGAGATGGCAAATGACACGAGATCCGTGGCAGATTCAATAAAGAAGGCGAGCGCATTTTGAGTTTGCCTTAGCTCATGTTCTGGGCTTGGAAAATACATACTACACCAGAAAAATAACCACCTCGATATATAGTCCGACGAAAGCAATGGAAAAAACTCTCACTCCCTCTTACAAGGGAAGGATACTTGCTGACCCTGGCCTTTCGGAATGATACGTACACGATTGAATGCATCTCAAAGCGCCGGTTTCAGATCTGCTTTCGATATCTGCTGTGCGCTCTCCCGAAAGAAGTTCTGAATTCTGTTCACCAAAATTCGCACTGCTTTAGTGACAAATTCACCAAGATGAGCTACAAAAAAGCTTCGAATAAAGTAAAGCTTTACGAAGCTCAGGAGAACAGTCTTCGTTATACCCGAGTCTAAAGAACTATAATAGATACTGACAATTCTGACCGCTCAGTTCTCGCGAAATCAGCAGATAAGGAAAATAGATTTGAAGTCAGCATTTCAAGGCGCATCTATAGATGTACATCTCACTACATCGCGGTCACCGAGTACTCTTCCCTTGTGACAGGTGCATAAACCTGCATAAACCACTTCTTTTCGACATCAGAATCTCAATAGATAAGCTCATTAAGAGAGCTACAGAGACCAGGCACGCAAACGGTGGGCATTGAACACCAACCAAACAAGCTGTAGTAACAATTTTTCCAAGCCTGCAGGAGAACCAAAAGACCTTGTGAAAACAAGAACGAATCCACCGAGTAGCGTGCATGAGCTTGGAAAGAACGAAGTCAGAAAAAGGAATCATTAAGCGGGCAAGGTGGTGGTGGAATGACGAATGCAAAAAGTCATACTAGCTTGCTGCATAAGTTCTGATCTGTTGCCTTGTGTTTGAAGCAGCTGTCTAAATTGTAAGGAGGTTGTCATTAACGTGGAAGTATTTCTACCATTAAAAAATGTTTTTCGTGCTCTCTGCGACGCATTATAGGTCTCAGCAGAATCCAATGTGAAACTACCGGCCTTAGATCCCAGTGGCGAGCCGGTCCACTCAAGAAATCTGTTATTGCAAGGAAATCTTCGTGCTCTCCCCCCTCATCGAGTTTTGTGTTTGTTGCGGAATAATGGGCAGACTACTACATGCACAATTTAATTCCACGTTTGAAACCGTCTTTCTTGTTGTTGAAAATAATTATTCATATGAATGTTCGCACGCAGTAATTTTCTGTGAATAAAAGCGTGTGTACCTGTCAACCCTGCAGCTACTGACTAACTCACTGACATCGCGGTGGAACATAAACCTCCGAAGACGAAGACTTTGTCGAAACGTAAGGTCAATAAGTTTTACCACCGTACAAACCTGGATCTGGCACAATACATTTTCAACCTATTCTTCGGGCATCTAACCTAGCGTACTAACACTTCTCTGCAAGAGTACATACATTCCTGAGCGAAAGATGTGCTTAAAGCTTAGACCCAGAAGCCTTGCAAGCAGTGGTGTTGCGTATTTCGCCGACTATCAGCTAGATTTCGAGACTCTCATAAGCTATTGACACATATGTTGGGATGACACCGATCGTGCTGCAACAAGCAGATGTGACGCCCAGATATATGTATATATTAGCCCTACAAAAATGCAATAATTTGAGGAGTTTATACTCTTATTCTACAGTATTTTCGTCCCACTTTACATCTAGTCACGAGCGCTTGAAATCGCGCAAAGCTTTCCTTCTTCTATTAGGATCCAAAAATAATGAGCCCTTAAGAATAAATGCAGTTTCCTTGAACAAAAATCTCGGATGTCAATATACATCAAGATTTTCTGATCGAGCCATAGATGTACACTTTGCTTTGCGTTATTTGGTGCTCAAAATCAAAGCTTTAAGCAGCAGCGCACAGTGATACTGAGGCCACATAGTGCATTTGCGCCAAATACTGCCATATATAATACTTTATAGAGTAATCTGTCTCTCAACAATATTTACAGAAAGAAAAACAACATGATGCCGTAAGTATGAGTTGAGCATTATTCGCAACAAGTAACAAATACGACGATTGTTTGAATATGTCGCATAATCCAGGTCTTCGCAAGGAAAACATGGGAAATGCTTGTTAATCCGTCGGAAACAATAACGAAGTCAGAGATCATTGAACAAGCTTTCTTAGAAGATAAAAACAAGCATTCTATTTTTGACTAATAGAATGTGCTTCGGAGTTACTGAAATTCAAGCAACCCGTAAAGCTTCCTCTCGTCTTGAGGACAACATCAGAGCCTATAAGGAGAGCTTCTTGGCTTATGTACATCATAATGCATCCATACATAGCAATATCTGTCCCTCGTGTTCGCAGCTTGAAGCATTCGACAACTACGGAGGATTTGTGCTTACGGCGGTACGCACCGCACGTCCAGGAGTTCGTAAAAGTTGTTCAAATTCCCACTAAAAGGGAATTTTGTCTTGCTATTCATTGAAACTTTGACAAATGATGAATACTAACCTGTACATTACCGATGTCAATTTTGACAGGTGGTAGAGAATACTTTGGGTGGAGGTAGTCATTGTATTTGAGAGGAATGGCAGGAAAATAGAGAGAGTGCTTTTTGTCATTGAAACATTGGTTTGCATAAGGACACTTCTGCAGTAGCGGCTCGGGCATGTCCAGCGATGTGCTATAAATACTAAAATATTACCCATACAGAACCTAGAGCATGAAAGCTCCAAAAATTAACAGCACCTTGAGGAAACAGAGTCGATCTCGACGTATTTTGTGTTCCTTCGCGGTGACTTTACCGCACTAAAAGGAATCTCTCTACGTGGATGACACCTGCAAAACGAGATTTTTT